CGTGGGCTTTGTGCAAGGCTTCTAAGGACAGGGGTGGACTTGGAATCCTTGATTTGGATCTTCACAACCAAGCTCTCCTGTTTAAATGGCAATGGAGGTTTATGTTCGAAAGAGATAGCTGGTGGAGGGAAGTCATTAGCATTAAATACAATAATCCCCTCTCGGAGTGGTATTCAGGGGATTCTCTTGGTAGGTGATAACAATGTAATTGCACATGTTTGCGCCCCTAGTTCTCATCCGTTTGAGGGGCATAGTCGTGTGTTGTGGCCTATTTTATGCCGGGTTGTGCTATTTTGTCATGTTTCAGGTCCCAGGTGTCAAAGGGAAGGCTAACCACGAGTTTCGGGGCATTCGGAAGTCATTTCGGTGAGCTGGAGCCAAAACACGGGCAGCCTAAGGCATTACACGGTCGTGTACCTCTGGCCGTGCTTTTTATGCCGAGAGCAAATTCAGTTTGGCCAACGCGAAGCACGGCCGTGTTTAACCCACCTGCTGGCCGTGTAATTAAGCCCTGGCCGAGACACGTGCGGAGTCAGGCAAAGCACGGCCGTGCCCTCGACCGTGCTTTGGCCACTGATGCTTTTAAGCATATTTTCAGCCACAACTCAAGGGGATTCGAGTTTTTGAGAGAAAGAACGACTTCTAGAGAGAGAAAGTGACGAGCAAGAGTTCCCAAGTGCCCTAGATTGATCTTCAACACCATTGGAGGCCAGCTTGAGCTTGGAGAAGTGCCAATCAACGTCAAGAAGCAGGAATCCATCCTTCGCAGTATGAATTCCGTGTCTGATTCTGCTTTTGCTTTCTTCTCTATGGAGTAGTTCTCCCATTCATCTGGGTATGGAGAACCCTAGATTTGTATGTTAGGCTTTGATTGTATGAACCCAAGTACTGATTCTATGATTTGATTATATTCGATTGAGGTTTGAATGATTGAATGACTTGAATCCTGATCAAATTCCTGTTGTTTCTGCTTTAACCTAGAATGAGAATATCTGCCTAGGTTGATAGAGCATCCTTGATTGAAGGTAGGGAGTTGGTGACTTTAGTCGAGGAGCCAACTCACTATTCTGTACCGGATTCACTTCGGTAGTGGAGGTTTTGTTCTTAGGGCCTCAATCTGTTTACTCCAGTGGAGGTTAGTCGCCCGCTAGAGACTCAGATTGAGAGGGTCTGAAGACCTTTAGTCGAGACTTCAGGCTGTTTAAGAACCTTCCGCAGTATAACTATCATAGAAACTGAACTTGGTAATTACAATCCGGCTTAACTGCAGTCTAGGGGGAACCATATCCGGGTGACCTCTTTAACCTGAATACAACCAGTTTACTTGCTTTGTTTGTTTGGTAGTTTAGACTTGCATTCCAGTTTTATTGCTAGATAACAAGAATTCACTGAGTAGTCATCACATCTAGGACCCGGGTTGATAATTAAACCCAAACCCGCTATACTACGCTTTAGGAAGTGGTTTCACTTGGCCAATTCCTGGAGTGACAGTAGAGTCGAGTCAGTAGGCAGCGGTTTAGCTTGTGGCATCATATCATGAAGCTTAACGACTCTTTCTGGAAAATGGCGGCTATTGAATAAGGGACGGGTCAGTGGACCTCCTTCTAGTATGACGTCTGGATCAACGGGATGCGCCTTGCGGATGGTTTCCCAAGGGTCTTGGCCGCCGCCGAATCGCCTAGCTCTAGAGTTGTCGATTACTTGATTTTGTCGAGTGATTCAATTCAGTGGGAAATTCCTCTCAAATTATTTCTTCGGGTTCGGGCTGAGAGGGAAAGAGAGAGGTTTCTTGAGTTAGTGAAAAACCTTCCTTCGACATATTTCTTTGCAGGTCTTGAAAGGACGGTGTGGCTCCCCGACGAGGCGGCTGGCATCAGTGTCCACTCGGCCTACGCTCAGTTGGTCTCGGCCAGCTTTCCAGGCATCGACAACTTCCCGATGAAGGTGATTTGGCAACATCTCATCCCAGCAAAATCTGTATTTTTATGTGGAAGGTCTTTCATAAGAGGATTCTTACCCTGGACAACTTGAAGAGGAAGGGTGTGAGCTTTCCTAACAGGTGTGCTTTGTGCAAGAGAGAAGAAGAGACGATCAACCACATCTTCACCCTCTGTATTTTCTCTAGGACGTTTTGGAGCACTCTCAATCGGTTTGTCAGGTTCGTCATGGATCGAGGAATGTTTCATCGATCTATTATCAATTCGTGAAATCATCTCATTCTAAGATTCATGCTATTATGATTTATGTTTACAGTTCATGCCACAGCAACAGAGAGCTATTACTTAAACAATACGGGCAGCTTTCCCTTGGTACTATATATCTTATCATTCTTCATCGAGCAACAAGAGCAGTAACATAGAATGGATGGAGGAGTGCTTTTGCGTGCCGATAAGTTAAGCATATATTTGTGATGGACTTGATCCCTGCTGTGCTAAGCCTGTTTGCTGCGAACTTTATAATCGGCAGCAAGCTAAGGCACATAGAGGGGGTTAAGGGGCCTTTACCCTAAAGGGATCTTCCATTGTATTCTATACATTAGCATAACATCTATGTACCAATACCACCCAGAGGATAACATAAACAATTGGTAGCAAAGCTACTACTCCCTTTTCTTCTGTTGTTTATTTATGTCCAGCTACTTTTTGGTGTTGTGGCTACAAGTAGTAAAGAAGTGAAGCAAAAGTCTCCAACGCCCACCCAAATGTCATCGATTGGCCCTCACTCATATGCTTTTGTGTCACTCCATGATTTGTTGCCAAGAAATTCCCCCATCTTTCCCTTCAAGATTTCCAATCACTATTCTCCTCCATTTCCTTACACAGCCCTCTTTTTTGTATATTTATCTCTACATAGTCATACCACAACTTTTTTTTGTTTTTTGTTGAAACTACATACCAAAACTATTGGGTAGGCGTAATTAACAACACTTTAGATTCCTTAATTGATTACTTAAAAAATCATTCTTTGTCGTCAAATTATCATTTCGGTTATTTTTCTAATCCATGAATCAAATATTAGCTCTTTTATGAAAAGCTAAACTTTATTTCATACAAAAATAAGCTCATAGTGAGTAGAGATGGCAATTTACCCACCCATGGGTAATTTTGCCCAAATCCAAGTAGGCTCATTTATTATGGGTATGGATGAGTTGTACGTGGGTTTGAAAGTTTGTAGATGGGTTTGGGTTAGGTATGGATATTGTTTTCATAATCTAAATGGGTATCAGCGTATGGGTTGGATATGGATATTAATTTACTTGAGTGTGTTTAAACTACAAATAAAAAAATTTGACCTATTTGTAAAATTTAAAAAGTTAAGATACCAATATATAAGACCAAAAAAAATTAGGAACTAAAATGTAATTTTCCATCAATATTTTAATTTTGAGGACTTATATGCAAACAAAATTAAATTTAGGTACTAAATGCATATATATTAAGTTTAGATACAAAACTGTAATTTGTATTTGGACATGGGTAAAAACCCAAATTCATTTGTTAAAAATCAAATCCAACCCAAGTAAATGGGTATGGGTACAAACCCATCAAACTCTACCCATCTACCAATGGGTATGGGCAAAATTGTCATCCCTAATAGTGAGCAATATTAATGTCCTTACAGACTTAACTACTGAACTGTATACAAAAACGAAATTACATCTACATGTTCATTTACACACTAAACATCATTCCAACTAAACATAAATTAGTTATACATATTGAAACGAGAACTTCTTTCACAACAACAACATTCTGTGTAATCGGGTCGAGAGCGAGTCCTAACTTCCTCTTCTTTGATAATTCACTATTTCTGCAGAAACCCTAATCGCCCAATGGGTATGGGCAAAATTGTCATCCCTAATAGTGAGCAATATTAATGTCCTTACAGACATAACTACTGAACTGTATACAAAAACGAAATTACATCTACATGTTCATTTACACACTAAACATCATTCCAACTAAACAGAAATTAGTTATACATATTGAAACGAGAACTTCTTTCACAACAACAACATTCAGTGTAATCGCGTCGAGAGCGAGTCCTAACTTCCTCTTCTTTGATAATTCACTATTTCTGCAGAAACCCTAATCGACCAAGCAGGTGAAGAACAAGATACCAAAAATAATTCTTTTATCAAAAATGAAAAAATGAATCTGTTTGAAATAAATAAAACTAATGCAAGCCTTGTTTATCTCGAACTACAGTGGGCTTTTAACAAACACGCCTATAACTGAAAAGCTTGGGCTTAAGCTTGCTCAAGCCTACACAGTCTGCAACAGGTTCTCTTCTTCCTCGTACTGCAATCTTCAATCCCTTGTATCCTACTCTGCATATGAACCAAACAACCAACACACAAAATTGCAGAATCTAAAGTAAATTCAAAACAAAGACAATTTTACGTGGTATCTGATATTTGGAGAATAAGGATCCCAATATCGACTAATCCATGGTAGGAAATTCTCCTCTTGAGATTTCCTACGTAACTACTAGAAGATTTCCTTATTCTTTTTACAGCCTTGGAGTTCAATCTTATCAACTCCCTGCCTATCAAACAACCTCACAACCTTGTGTTTCAACTCCATGTCTAGACACTCAGAACTACTACACAAATCTCCTTGATTTGCTTTCTTACTATTTTCTATCAAAGACTACAATTGATCACCTAATCAATATGCTTTGATTCCCTCGAAAATGTTAGTTTGCTCGACTTGGAATCTCTTCATTATATAGACTTCTTGTCGACCGTTGCTATTGATTCCCTTTGATTTATTTGATTGTCTCCGATCTTGGTAAGTATTCTGCTTGGAAAACTTTCTCTTTTGCTGCAGCTAGCTCGTCGCATTCGTTCTTCAATTTGCAATTGACAGGCTTCACTCAACAAGCTCCCCCTAAGCTTGTCAATGGCTCGTCTTGCTGCACACGTTTTCCCTGCACACATTCAACACACACCTGGTGCAGTCTGTTCTATACAAAGTGCTTGAGAAGATAACTTGGGAAGCCCTTATTTCATTTTATTTGAAAATTCTCAATAACTACAAATCTAAGACATTCAACGAACACAAGCAACATACTTGACACTTCAAATCAAAACAGAGTTCCAAAAAAAAGCAGACTTGACACTACTAAGCAATCATAGACAAATTACTATTGCTCCCCCTAAGCTTAATGACAAGATCTCTAGAACAGATAGTTGGGAGGTAACTCATAGTCTAAGATATCATCTTCAGAACTGGAGTCGGGTGTGATAAGATTGAAATAATCCGTATTAGGTTCTATGTCGTCATATTCCAGTAGCTCAAGATGCTCATTGCACAATAGCAGAGTCATAGTCACTCCACTTCCAGCCTCCTTGCTTCGCTTGATTTCACTATCAATGGTTGTCACTGCAGCTTGATTCAGGGATGAAACTAAGCCATCAATAGCGCCATCAGCAGAGAAAACGAAGCAGCTAGCTTCTCCCCCTGAGCTAGAGATAAGCTCACGACGACCAACATTCGCAACCAGATGATTGAGGACATGATTGGGACAAAGATTGTCATGAACGTTGTAGACATCAACTTTTTCCTAGAGATCGATCCCTAGGCGATATAGATAGCGAGTAATGAAAGGGTCAAATGGAAGCGCCCCACTGTAACCACCATCACCAAACCGAATCATGTGTGCAAATACCAACGAAGCATAGCTGATAGGGCATCGTGCGCAGGTATTTGACATGATCCAGAGATCAGAGGGATGGAGAATGGCAGCACTGGACAAATCACGAGGAAGGAAGCACCGAGTAATGAAAAAATGCAGGACCTTCATATCGTCAGAAAGACATCCCGCAGACAACTGATTGGGGAAGACCTGCCCAATATCATGGGTGAGCTGATCAAGAGCATCACTGAAATCAAACCTGAGATCTTCTAACTCCCTGTCAAAACTGGCCTGATATCCGGAGTGAGGTAGGGAAGAACGGTGGCGAGCAATTCAGGAGAGACAATGACTTCATAGTTATAGACCACGGTGGTGAAGGGACGGGGTTCAACACCACGTCCCCGCGGAAGATTGACATAAAACATCCTGTCGGCCGCAAGACATTGAAGAAATGGTTGATCTTCGCTCAACGAGCTCCATCCAAGTCCAATGAGGAGAGATGGAATGTACATGTCATACTTAGATAATGCGGAAGGTGAGATGGTGAAGGATGGATATATGGGACGATCACGGAAATAACAAAGATACCTAAAGTGAACAATGGCATTACGAAACCCTTGGGTTTTTAACACGACAACATGATGAAGTTGGGCGTTGTTGAAAGCCATTTTGGGATGAAGGAAGGAATGGTATAGTGTGAATGAATTATGAACAATGGGAGGAGTGACCTAGTTATAGTGATAACGAATGGACAGATGAGGCAAGAGTATCAATCACACCCTTATGCCAAAATGAAAATGTTGATTTATCGAGACAGAGAAGAGTAGAGGACACTTGGAAAGAATATGGGAGATAAGGAAAGAGTTTGCGAGAAGAAAAGGAAACTGAGAGACACAAAATCCTAAAATATTTCCTCTACCTCTTTGAAGGAAAAAAGTCCAAGTTCTCGGTGAATGGGTAGGAATTTTTTGGCCAGCAAAGGTTTGGTGAATATATCGGCCCATTGAGAATCAGTCCCAATAAATTCTAAATGGACCTTTGATGTGATCCTAAACGGCTCAATCCATGGAACAGGATTGCTTGATCGAGAAGGCAACCCAATTCCCTTGAAGAACACTAATTTTTGTTTAAGTCTTTTTACCGTTTCAGGTAGCCAACTTTGGACGTATGGAACTTGTGATTGGCTCGATGAAAATGCGCGTGTGAGGGCTTGTTTTAAACATGGAGTCACCCTATACACGTTGCCATGCTCTGGAGCTCAATTGGAAGGCCAGAGGGTTGTTTTTCAGGCTGTGCAAAAGTGGAAGCTGAAATCGAAGAACTGTCCGAAAATGGCTAATGCATGGTACTAGTTTGAGGTGACTACTTGGGAGCTTGATTCGAGGAGATGGAGTGAGAGTCGAGTCTCCATGTTCATACCACATGAAAGTAGGCCGCTTCTAGTACAACGATGAGGCATTGGTTAAGTGAGAGCTTACCTGGAAGGCATCGAACGAGGGCTCCAAAGAACCGTGTCGAGGTCGCATTTCCCGTCTTTGGCATCATGGAATCAGAATCCTGGTAGGATTAGGATTAGGCTGTTGTTTGAGTTTTATTATGTTTTTGTGTTTGTTTTGGATTCCTTTTCATATTAGATTGTAATTAGGACTTCTTCTAGAGCTCTTAGGATTCACTAGGTCTATTTAAGTCATTTTACTTCGTTGTAATTCTCAGATTATGTTCAATTGAATACAAAATAGAGTTTGATTCACAAGCTTGTTGCTTCGTGAGTTTGAGAGTGGTTTAGGGCAAGACCTAGACTTCTTGAGTGCTTGTATCGTTCAGCTAATCACGCTGATCGTGGCCTGTTTGGACTGACTAAGTATTTGGACTGACTAATGAAAATACCTTGACCTGTTTGTTTTACTCAAAGACCTAAAAAGTAGTTTAATTCCCCCATGAGACTCATTTAAAATGCATTTTTCATCTCATTCTCAAATTCATCACATAACTTTTAACATGTAGAGCCAAAAATAATATCATCCACATACACTGGAACTAGAGGAGTATGTTCGTTTTCATTTTTAATAAAAAGAGTTTTTTCGACGTTTCCTTGATGAAATCCTTTTTCAATAAAAAAATTGCCTAACTTTTCATACCAGGCCCTAGGAGCCTGTTTGAGCCCATACAAGGCCTTATTAAGCTTATACACATAATCTGGGTGTTCAAAGTCCTCAAAACCAGGAGGTTGAGAGACATAAACTTTCCCCTTTAGATCTTTGTTCAAAAACGCACTCTTAACATCCATTCAATATAATTTAAAACCTCTAGAGGCTTCATAGGCACAGAGGAGCCTAATGACTTCTAATCTGGCTACGGGGAAAAAAGTTTCATCAAAGTCAATTCCTTCTTCTTGACAGTAGTCTTGACCTACTAACCTAGCTTTATTCATAGTTATGGTTCCAAGTTCGTTTGTTTTATTTCAAAAAATCCATTTTGTTCCAATGATTATTCTATTTTTAGGTATGAGAACTAAGTCCCAAACTCAAGTTCTTGCAAACTGGTTCATTTCATCATGCATGGCAGCATGCCAGTAATCATCTTTTAAAGCATCTTCAACACATTTTGGTTCGAAATGAGCTACAAAAGCAGAATGTTCAGTGAGATGTTTAGATCTAGTAAGCATACCTCGTCTTAAGTCACCAATAATGAGAGAGGGAGGATGTCATCGTGCAATGTGAGGTGGAGCCTGAGGATCATGTTCCATTTCCTTATCATTTTTGTCTTCTTTAGAGAACACGGTTTCTTTCTCTGGAGCAGTTTGAGTGATATCGCTATTGTTTGCTATCCCCAAGCCAAAATCTTCATCCTCATCTAGATTGTCTACACACTTTCTACAAGACTCATTAAATATCACATTGATAGACTCCTTAACCGTGAGGGTCTGTTTATTATAAATCCGATAAGCTCTGTTGTTTACAAAATAGCCAAGGAAGATTGATTCGTACGATTTAGAATCAAACTTCCCTAAGTTTTCCTTTGTATTCAGAGCATAGCACTTGCATCCAAAGGGATGAAAGTAGCTTAGATTCAGTTTCCTATCATTCGAAAGTTCATACGAAGTTTTATTAATTTTAGGTCTAATGAGAGCTATGTTGGTGGCATAGCAATCCGTGTTAATTGCTTCTCCCCATAACTATTTTGGTAAGCCATAATCATTCAACATTGTTCTGGCTATATCAATTAACGTTCTATTTTTACTTTCTACCACACCATTCTCTTAAGGTGTTATAGGTGATAAAAAGTTGTGTGTTATTCCTTTCTTATTACAAAACTTCTCAAACTTTTCAGAGTTGAACTCCCCTCCATGTAACACCTTATGCTAACTATGCCTAATTGTTTTTAGTTTTCAACATGTTTAGCAAAGTTTTTGAAGTTTTATATGCTACATCCTTGATGCTAAGAAATAGAACGTAGGTAAATCTAGAAAAATCGTCTACGATTACAGAGACATAGCATTTACCTCCTAGACTCATGACATTACTTGGTCAGAATATTTTCAACATAGCACTTGTCTTGTTCAAATATGACTCTGTATTCACTTCCACACATTTGACCTATAGAAAGAAGATTGTGTTTTAAATCCTTTACAAGCAGGACATTGCTTATTGATGGTATTGTTCCCACTTGAATTTCCCTAAGATTTCAGTATTGAAGTTATCCACAAAGTAAACTTTTCCTTTGTTTTCTAGAGTTAGTTTGTAAAAGGATTTTTATTACCCGTCATGTGGTGTGAGTATCCACTGTCAAGTATCCACACGCAGCCTTCCATTCTCACTTGAAGATAGGTCTACATACAAATAGATATGACTACTTAGCTTTAGGTATCCAAACAAGTTTATATACTCTCCATGGTTGAAAGGTCTTGATATATGTTCTGGGAGAGTGTTCTAAATCATAACTACATAGATTTTTCTCTCTATTTTCTGTTGATATTCTTTTCCTGCAATGAGCAATGTAATGATCTGTTTTCTGACAATAAAAACACTCTGAAGAATGTTTATCTTTCTTAAATGAGGTATACTGCTTGTTTTGACTGGAAACAAATTTAGTCTTATTTCTAGTTCTAGTTAATTCCTCTTCAGCATCCTTGATTTTCTTTTTATCAATACATTCTCTTCTTCTGTTTTCCTGAGTTTGTATTCCACATTGATTTTTTCATTCTTTAGTAATTCAAACTAAGTTTCCAAAGCTTCATATATAGCTCTAATTAAAGTGTGTTTTTGCATAACATTCATAAATTTGTTTTGAATATCTTTGATAGTTTCATCTAGTTGATCATCCTCACTATATGAGTCAGAGTAGTAAGATCTTACCTGTGATTTCTCTTCATCACTTTTATCAACTGCCATGTATGCACTGAATATCTTACTGGATTCATCACCACCTTCATCCTCCTCGTTGTAGCTCCATGTTGCATAAGCTCTTTCCTTTAAAGCTAAGGGACATTCTGCCTTGATGTGCCCTGTCTTTCCACACTTGAAGCATGTAGATTGAGGCTGAAGTCATTCAGTGGTGACCCCTTCTCTTTTGTTTCAAATCATGTGTCGATTTCCCTTGCTAGTATCTCTATCATTCTCTCCTTCTCTTTATCTGCTTGAGAAGTTCCCTCCTTTCTTTTCTCTTCTCATTCTCAGAACTTTGGCAACACGCTTGCTAAGCATGGAAAGTTCTTCATCTTCCATTTCGTCAAGACATTCAAGTTCATCTTCTTGTGATGTAGCTTTGAAAGCAATTCCTTTTATCTCTTTTTGGTTCCTCCGGGTATTCTCTTCTCAAATTTTCTTCATGTGTGACCAGAGAGCCAATTAGCTCATCCATACTTAGTTTGGTAAGATGCTTGGACTCCTCAATTGCAGTTACCTTGGGTGTCCATTTCTCTGGCAATGCCCAAATTTCGAACCAAATCGGCACTGGCGTATTCAACCTCCAAGTTCCTCAAGCTATTTACTATTTTAGTGAATTGTTCGTTCATATCCTTAATTGATTCATCAGCCTTCATGAAAAATGATTTGAATTCTTGCTAGAGACTGTTAATCCTGGAGATTTTGATATGAGAGGTACCTTCGTGTGCGACTTGCAATTTGTCGCAAATCTCTTTTTTCGATTTGCAGTCGGTCACTATGTGGTACTCCTCTGTCCCCAAAGCACAATACATCAAGTTGGTTTCCTTCGAATTGAGCTGGAAATTTCTCTTATCAGTTTCCGTCCATTTACCATGTGCTTCCTTCACTTCCAAAGGGCCATCCAAGACTTTATTCCATAGAACTGTATCTGTTGAGCCGATTTCTCCAGTAGCCATACTGAACGCCTTAAAATCTTGGCGGACGAGTTTGAGAAAACCCATCAGCCATAAAGATACCAGTTAACGCCGATCCCAAGATCATCTTCTCCGGATACGGTTGCGCCTGTGACGTTGGAGCCGAGCTCTGATACCACGTGTAATCGGGTCGAGCACGAGACCTACCTTCCTCTTCTTTGATAATTCATTGTTTCTGCAGAAACCCTAATCGAGCAATCGACCAAGTAGGTGAAGAACAAGAGACCAGAAATAATTCTTTTATCGAAAATGAAGAAATAAATCTATTTTAAATAAATAAAACTAATGCAAGCCATGTTTAACCCGAAATCATGGTGGCCTTTTAACCCATACGCCTGTAACTGAAAAGCTTGGGCTTAAGCCTGCTCAAGCCTGCAC